AAGTCCATCCTTTGACAAGCCTTTCAGTCTCCAAGGAAGGAAGGAAGGAAGGAAGGAAGGAAGGAAGGAAGGAAGGAAGGAAGGAAGGGACACAGAAGTTGGACTACAGAAACACTCCAGTCGTGGGAATTGAGATTTTTCTCCTTATCGGTGCCCAACGGTTGAAGTTAAGTAAAAAGTAATAAAAGTCTCGGTGTGTCAGATAACTAGAGCATCTTTTGACAACATTCTTGACTTGTGCGGTGGGCATCAAAGCATCTCTGTGAAGGGCACGACCAGGGCATGGAGACAAAGACTCCTCCCCCATCATTCCCTGCTGTGGGTGCTAAATCCGGAGGCCTTTCTCCCTCTCATTCTGCCTGGCCTCCTTTGAAAGGCATCCGAAGCACTGCCCTCCCAACCAGAAGGGGCTGCTCCAGTACAGCTGAAGAAAGCCCCCCCTCCAAATCCCTACCTTATTCTGGAGGAACCCACAGTCCTATTCCAAGAAAAGGTGTCTCTTCCCCACATGCTGGTGGACTTTGAAGAGTCACCTGACCTGCTGTGGGCTCTCAAAAAGAGAGATCTTCCCCAGCTTCCCACTTTTGGCCAAATCCAGGGGATGGTTTGTGCCAATTGTCCCTTTAAATTGGGGAGGGGGGGAGGTTTCCTGTTCAAGAAGTCCATAAAATTGAAGCCTGCAAGTTCTTCAAAGGCTCCCACTTGTGCTGGGCAAGACAAAGTCAGTTTCTGGTGGGGCAAAATAAAAGGGAGATGGTCTCGGAGCCTTCAAAGCAGGCTAAACTGCATCTCCTTCTCTTTCTGGCTCAGGGTTTCTTGAGCAGCTGCTGGTGTGGGGGTCCCAGCCAGGCTCCCCTGCTGGCCGGTAGGGCCGGCCTTCCGGGTGCTGCCATCGGCTGTGCATAAGCTACGTTGCCGCTGAAGCTCCTCCTCCCTGTACTTGCAAAGCCTCTTGAAGGCCAGGCGGAACTTCTGGGACATGAGGTTGTAGATGATGGGGTTGATGGCGCTGTTGGTGTAGATGCAGATCCTGCAGAAGAGGACAAACCAGCGGTCCAGGTAGGGGTGCTTCACGAAGGAGTTCACCAAAACCAGGGTCCTGTAGGGCATCCAGAGCAGGGCGAAGAGGGCCACCACCACAGCCAGCATCTTGGTGACCTGGAGGAGAAAGAAGGAGCTTCGTGGGAAATGAGACACAGCTTTGAAAGGCGAGCCATGAGGCCAGGGAAGGTGGCGGGTCAAGCTTTGAATGTTTTTAAAAAATATATATATACTTTTTTATTTTCCATTTTCATAACATATAATCACATGTATACTATTACATAGCCAATATCATATTGTTTTAATTAATGATTACATCAGTCCATCTTGCCATCAACTCCCGGAAAAAAATAAAAATAAAAAATAAAAACCAATTATTGGCTCTTCTGCTCTCCATACACCACTTTCTTCTGCCTCTCTCCTACCTCCTTTCTTCCCTCCATCATCCTTTTCGACTCTACTTCCCCTTCCTTTCTCCTTCTCCTCTCTCTACATTCCACTCCTCCTTATTCTCCTCATCTTGCCCTCTCTCCTATCCCTCATTCTCCTCATCTTCCCCCCCTTGCCCTCTCTCCTATCCCTCTCTTCCTATCTTTCTTCTCTCCTCTGCTTCCCACTCTTCCTCTCATTCACTTGGTGTATTTCAGCTTCTGAGCAAACCCCATTCTGTGCTGATGGTATTTATGCTTCCATTTCAATATACATAAAATATCTTGGTTTTGAAGAAAAAATAAGAGAAGACAGTATACATGTACAATCATATTACTTTAAAACCTAACAACACCCCTCCTCAAGCCTAATATACTTCCCTCCCACCCTCCCTCCTAGCCCCCCCCCCAATCTTCCCTCCCCTGACTTCCCAGAACCAATACGCGGTATAAATCTTTAACAAAAACAATCTAAAATATATTTGAAAAAAGAGTAGGGAATTGATAACATCTTTAAATTGAACTTAGCTCCTCCTTGCTAGGCTAACTTTAAACAATTTATACCATTCCTGATCTTAATCATAAGCTATCTGGAATTTCTTAGTCCCATATTTATTTTGAGTATAATCAATCCATTTTTTCCAGTCTCGTCTATATCTCTCGCTTTGAAATTTAAGACCAATGCGATGGTGCTTTTGGTCACAGCACATGGTAGCATCTGTCCAGCGATGGCTGTTCCCAGAGGGCCAAGAAGACCTGAGTAGAGATTGCCTAATACTTCCGCTTAGTTGCACTCAAGAGGAATGACAAATACTATATGTTTGCATGGACATCTACAAATGGTGAGGGTGGAAGGACCCCCCTGTGTTGAGTTGGCCCTCTCAAGTGCTACCTCGGATTGCAGTTGCAACAGCTGTTCTCAACTCGGCAGCTTTAAGATGTGTAGGATTCCCAGAATTCCCAGGCTGGTTGGGGAATTCTGGGAGTTGAAGTCCACATGTCTTAAAATTGTCAAGGTTGAGAAACTGGCTTACAGGGTGAACATCGCAAACCTTCCTGAGGGTTTCTTCTCCCTCTGCTCCAAACTCAACCACCGCTGCCCACCTGTTTCCTGGAAGAGACGGGCACTCTGGTTCTTGAGCTGCCAGCCTCGGTGCCATTTTTCTCCTGGTTGCTTCGCTCTCGCCAGCATTCCCCTTGGGCAGTGGGGCGGTGCAGGGCATGGCTCTGGAGGAGGGCTTTTCCAATGAGGCCGTAGAGAACGGTGGTGAGCAGGAGAGGGGCGATGAAGAAGAGGGCAAAGTCGAGCAGGTAGATGGGCAGGTAAAGGTTGCGGGAGACCTTGTAGCCGCACTCCAGCTGCTGGCTGTTGTTAGCTGCCACGTCCACCAGGAAGAACCAGAGCATGCAGTACAGCGAGGTGAGGAGCCAGACAAATGCAGCGATGCGCTTGGCTCGAGACACGGTGCACATTGTCTGCGCCTTCATCGGGTGGCAGATGGCGATATACCTGGGAAAGAGAAGAAGGGGGGAGAGGGGTATAAGGAAGGAGGTGGCCGGAAAAGCAACATTGGAGGAAGAGTCACCTCTGGTCTAGTCTAGCAAGAACCCTTACACTGGTTTCTTTGTCTGGATCACTTCCTGCCTCGTGCAGAAGGGTGGCACCGAGTGGCATCCCGCGAAGGATACTAGCTCTTGGGTAGCCCTTTGCACAAACACATTCAGGGAGCATCATTCGTAGCTCAGGAGAGAGTTCCTACCTGGCCTCCAGAAGGTCCCTTGTTCAATTTGCAGCATTCCCAGGTAGAAGGATCAGATACAGGTGGGGGAAAAGCTCCCAGAGACCCAGGTAAACTATTGCCAAGCAGAACAGAGGCTTTCTTCAAATTTAGCTAGGCTGATTGGGGAAGTCTGGGAATTGTAGTCAACCTAAGTCGAAGAAGGTGGGTCTAGGAGAATGGAGGTCTTAAGAACCTTTGGAGGCTGTAACAGAAGGTGTTTAGTGACTATTGATCTAGAAGAACCAATAGATCAATGTCTGAAGAACAATGAATGTTTTTTGAGTACACACTCCAGACAACCAATAGCAGTTAGACTTATATACCGCTTCATAGGGCTTTCAGCTCTCTCTAAGCGGTTTACAGAGTCAGCATA